TTTTTTTGCCGCTGAGGGTTAGATGAACGAAACGAATAAAGTACTTTAGAAAATTAGAACAAAACAAGGTTATGCTAGGTGCAGCAGTGATCATTTGGATTTTAAAGGAAATCCAAGGTGAACAATTACGTGGGCAGATAAAAGAGAGAAATTTAAAATGCCGTGAAAACACTGAGAATTGGAGACACTGTAGTGAGACTTACTACCTGTTCACAAATAATATTCAGCACGGTTTCTCCAATATTATGTTATTTTACTTTTATTTGATTGCTGATCGCATTTTCGCCCATTTTTCAATATACAAACTGAATAGGTATTTTAATGCTTGAGGTCAAGAATATCATGAATTTACCATCTATATTTTTTTGAAATTACCATCAAATTTCGCAACTTTGAGTCCATAGTCAACCAGATACAACATGAGCTATAGAGGAGTTTTGATAAGAAAACTAGATCCAAAATTATAAATATTTACAGTTTACTGCAGTCTCTACCTACATTAGACGGAAATGTTACTTGAAATGAGAATGTTTACGAGCTTCTGCATGACACACACACATGCTTATACTATTCATCAACCATGTAAAAAAGACGCTCAACCAAAGAACGCATAAAATGATGTATGCGACCAATAAAGCTGAAAGTGTCGTATTAAAAGTGTTACACTTCCGTGTATCGTATTTTAAAATAGAACCCGTTTATTTTTATGCCAATTAGTGGCGAAGTCGCTTTGTGGGCACAACTTTGGCACTAATGTATTGTTCTTGCGTCAAAGATGCTCTACAAGTTACATATCAGTTTGTGCAGTGACCGCATAATGAATGGTTTTGAATTATTCTTAAATATTTTATCCAATTAGCAACGTTTAGATGCACGCCTGCTTAACCCAATGAGCACAACATGCTCCTTATTTTATGAATAAAATGTTTTTTTTAAATTGACAGTGAATATTTGCCTTACCAGGCGACGAGCGTGTAGGTGGACCATATGACACTATTTTCACGTTTGCCGCCGAATAAACAGATGGGAAAACGCGCTATTCACTCGCACGCACTCGAAACTTGAACAAAAGTGATAATATATGCTTTTTTGAGACTAATTTGGGCAAATAACTTCATGACAAACGGTTTGTCACTTACCTGAGTCCATCGGAGGTTGTGCGGCCATCACTTGTTTTGTTTTGTTGTTGTGTTTCCAAGGAAACAGCGATTTCAACATCCTGGAGCACGTGTTTGCAGTGTTGCCAGCAGCAGGAGTGCGGCGCGATCGCCGAGAAAATATTGCTTGCATCGGCTAACAGTCGTGTATTGTTTCTGAAAGACCGTCGAACCGGTTAGCTCCGATGCGGATTTCGTAATCCCAACTCTAGATTTTTCAAAGCATCCGTTAAAAAATCTGAATGTATTTTTGGATCAGCAGGATGGTCGGTAGGAGGTTACGGCGGAAGTGCCGCTTTGCTGTGAGTAAATGCCGCTGCTTGAGAGCGTTTGTTTCATTTCGCTTTTAAGACTCTGTGTAGAAAACACCTATAAACCCAAAAATGCAGTACGAACTATACTTATACTTACGAACCCAAACAAACCCAACCGCATCTTCCACATTTCAAAAAATGAAAAAATGGAAATTTTCTCAGAATGTATCAAATTTTACATCATGATGAATGCATCGAACTCATTAAAAAAACATGGTAGAAGTTTCAGATCCGAAATAAGCTAAAAAATCTAAACCAACCCAAATTGAATGAATCTACATGCTAAGATATCCAAGGAAACATTTTCATTAACTTAAACCGTTTTGCGCAGTTTGGCACCAACACTCGAAATTTAGCCTGACAATGAGGATTTTCCTTAAACTTGGTGAGTGTTTTTTGGCTTAATTTATGGACCATCCAAGAATTGTGAAAAATTCACTGAAACTGCTTAGTTTAAAGTGTTCTTTAAAGTAAAACAAGAACAACCAAAAAATTCGGATCTCCTAAAAAAGTTAACTACAAATTGATGAAACTACAGTGACTGTATAGGTACATACTGTATAATGTTTTGAAAACCAAAAAAATTAAACAGAGACAAGTAATAAAAATTATTATTTGTCTCCGGATGCAACAGGCTCTCTCATAAGATCCGAACGACCAAGCAGCGCACTATCGCCGTCCCTTTTTATTTGTGTTCAATAGAATAGGCACGCACGAGACTGACGAGACTAAATTACAGCTGATCACAATAAAGTGAATGCGATCTAGTGTTGCCATTAGCCTTGTTTTATGCATTAGCCAGACAGGTACTTGTCTATGCTCTCGTCTTTATCTATGCTCTGACATTAGCAAAAAAAATTGGACAGGCAGGGAAGATTTGCTGGTGGTCCTCATCACCGGCGCGACAGTTTTTTTGAAGTTGCGGAAATTGTTGATTTGATTAAAGCAATAAAAGGAGTTAATATGAGCGGTCTTTTGAAAGTGCAGTCTGGACTATTTGGCCGATGCTTAAATCATGTTTTCAGTAAGGTAAGGTTAGGACACCTGGTCGGAGATGGAAGACTCTTCGTTATGTAACTTTTGCCTTTATTATTTCCCTATTTTTGGGGTTTATTTCAAGCCCGGAAGCAATTCTGGGAACGGCAGGGCTACGCCTACTTTCTCCAATTAATAATCGAACATTAAACGTTGCAGCCCCATGCTTATGGGCTGTATAGTTGAAGAGCATTTGTAACGCTCTTTGATACTTGTATTATAGGCACCCGGGGCTTTCGGGTCGAACCGTTCACTGCACATCAACGTGGACAGACAAAGTGCCAAGCAATGTGATGCCGGGGCAGGTTCATCAGCATACCCCTGTATTGATCACACCTACGATGCTGTTGTGGTGGGTGCAGGTGGGGCTGGCCTTAGAGCCGCTTTTGGCCTGGTCCAGGAGGGTTTCAAGACCGCTGTAATTACCAAACTGTTTCCCACTCGATCCCATACTGTTGCTGCTCAAGGGGGCATCAATGCAGCCCTAGGTAGGTCTAACTATGCTTAAATCGATAGTTTGTACAGGCAAGATTCCATCAAATGTTCTTATGAAGTTTTTCACTACGGTCTATTTAAAATTAACTTGATCCGGGCGACGGTTCCGGTCATCCGAAACTTTTTAATTGAATAATCACTGTTTCATTAAAATGCATTTTATTTTCAGTTTGTTAATAGTTGGTAATGGTCTGCCTAATGTTTTTTAAGTATTTGTTGGTGCCACTTTAGATGAGAGTAGTGGAGTATGTGGTGTTTGCTAAACGCTCCCAATCCGCGGATTTCAGCTGTAATCCAGTTTGCCTGCAGTTTTAGTTTCTTTGTACTTGGGTAATCAGGGTTACAAAGCCCTCTAAACCATAAATTAACGTCATTTTGAGTTCATTCAATAGTTTATCTTAACGCCGAATGAACTTCGGCATCGCCATAAACTTTTCAAGTCTTTCGACTAATTTAACACTTGGTTTTAAGCGGAATATCTTTTCGAACCACATTGTAAAGTTTCTAATCAATTATGAAGTGTTGTTTAAAATAGCAGCCTGTTCAGAATGAGGTGGACATCATTGTAAACTTAGGCATTTTTGAAAAGCTTCGACCAAGTAAAAAGTTCGATTTGAAAGTCTTAGAACATCTTAGAATCTCTTAGAACACAAAAGAACAAATTCACATGATAATGTGATAATCCCCCAAGTTGGATCATGCACCACTTTTATTATCATTATTACTTGTCGCAGTATACCCTGTAAGATGATGCTAATTGTAATGATTGCAGGCAATATGGAAGATGATCAATGGCAATGGCACATGTACGACACTGTGAAAGGTTCCGATTGGCTCGGAGATCAAGACGCCATACACTACATGACCCGTGAAGCGCCAAAAGCGGTAATCGAGCTGGAGAACACTGGAGTGCCGTTTTCCAGGACACAGGATGGCAAAATCTATCAAAGAGCTTTTGGGGGCCAGTCTTTGAAGTTTGGCAAAGGAGGCCAAGCGCATAGGTAACTGTTTTAATACGAAACAAATGGGTTTTTAAATGAAGATTTCGGTTGGTTAGGTGTTGCTGTGTGGCCGACCGGACTGGGCACAGTCTGCTGCACACGTTGTATGGACAGAGTTTAAGGTATGACTGTCATTTTTTCGTCGAATATTTCGCGCTCGATCTAATCGTTGAAAACGGGGAATGCAAAGGAGTCATGGCACTGTGTCTGGAGGATGGGACAATCCACAGGTTTAGGTCTAAAAATACTGTAAGTGTGCACTGAAAATGTTTATAAAATCCCTCTGGTTAATGGGGGCTGTACCTTACATAGATTTATCAATGATTTTAAACTAAGGTGCTGGCAACTGGAGGCTATGGACGTGCGTTTTTCTCATGCACATCAGCGCACACTTGCACAGGGGATGGCACTGCCATGGTAGCGAGAGCGGGGTTGCCCAGCCAAGATCTAGAATTTGTTCAGTTCCACCCCACCGGCATCTATGGAGCTGGATGTCTAATTACAGAAGGATGTAGAGGTATTCTTACAAGCGGATGCACGTAAAATTCTGGTGCTTTCATTGATGTATAGCCCGAGCTGGGCGATGCGAGTAGAACGCGATTTTTTAGTGGTCATTTTCTTTCATTACGCTCATGCTGTTATTGGAGACATTGGCAATTAGAAAAGTG